AAATCTTTAAAAAAAAAAAGAGGCTAGGTAACCTATTCTTAGTGAATCTGCCTTTTACTATCTATACATATTACTGTAGAGTAAAAGGAAATACTTCATTTATTATATATATACTATTTTATTAAGTGACCTGCATAATTATGGGTGTGTATATACATCTTGTGGTGTCATTTCCTAGGATCAGAGCATTTAAAATTGGAAGAGCTCTTTAGTTCATCTTTCTAGTTTTTACAGATGAGGAAACTAAAACACAAAAAGTTTAATTTTTCCCATGACCACCTGGTGACAGATCCAGCTTTCCACCGAGTATTAGGCTCCCTTTCCCCACTACTCACAGCAGCATTGTTTATTTCTCTCAAGAATAACACTAAGAATCACTTCACTCTTTATTTTTCATATTAAGAAGAATAACTCTAAAGAGCATTATAACAAAATGATACATATCTTTGTGAATTGGTTTAAACATTTTTGTTTCTTTTAGGCATGATACTGTTTTGAAATTTATTATATACTTATGGTTCTAAAGGATTATGCTAATTTTTAGGGGATAAATCATGAAAATTCCCAAATCTTAAATATCAGTACCTCCCAAATTTTGTAATTCTGAATTATTGGGAGAATAAGAATCCCCAAACTGTCAAGCTAATACTAGATTTTCAGTGATTTCTAAGATCCAATATGTTTCTGATATTCAAGGCCCAGTATTTATAGAACATTCTGAATTTATATGTACCTGATTTTTTACTTATTTTATAGTAGTATTCAGTCTTTTTTTATTTTTGTGTTCCTGAAAAGCATTCATTTGTGTAGTGAATTAAGAATCTCCTTTCTTGGGATGCCTGGGTGGCTCAGTCAATTAGGCATCTGCCTTCGGCTTGGGTCATGATCCCAGGGTCCTGGGATCAAGTACCGCATCCACCTCCTTGCTTGGCGGAGCCTGCTTCTCCCTCTGTCTGCCGCTCCCTCTGCTTGTGCTCTCTCTCTCTCTCTGACAAATAAATCTTTAAAAAAAAAAAAAGAGGGCGCCTGGGTGGCTCAGTTGGTTAAGCGACTGCCTTCGGCTCAGGTCATGATCCTGGAGTCCCAGGATCGAGTCCTGCATCGGGCTCCCTGCTGTCTGCAGGGAGTCTGCTTCTCCCTCTGACCCTCCCCCCTCATGCTCTCTCTCTCTATCTCATTCTCTCTCTCTCAAATAAATAAATAAAATCTTTAAAAAAATAAAAATAAAAAAAAATTTTTTAAAAAAGAGTCTCCTTTCTTCAAACAACTTTGGAAATACACATACTGGCTACAGTAATTGATCCTGTGTCTGGATACTGCACTTCCAGCTAGACTGTTCCTTGGTTGATAGAAAATTGAAGATTGTAGATGTGATACTGTATTATCTCTTCTCTCACCACCTGAAGATTATGAACAGAAAAGAGCAAAAGTTTCTGAAGTCCAAAAAGAATACACCCACTTTAAATATTAGTTTAGTCTAGTTGAGAGACTATTTCAGTACCTTCATGGTAAAGGCCAAAAGAATAATGTCTGTGTTAGTTCAGTCAGTGAGTTGCTTATCTGAGACAAATTGTTATTCCTTATATAATTCTCACCTGCACTCTGAGAAAAGCACTTTGAGAATTTTCTGATCAAAGACAGTATTTGTACTCTTGCTTTGGATGTTGATACCTACTCGAGCTAAGAGTTAAAAAATTAAGAAGGCTATTCCCTTTTCTGAAAAAAAGATTAATAGTTTGTTGCCTGAATGAAAGAAATGACAATAAAATACTGGTGGTTTATATGAGGGAATCATATGCATTGGAAATATCACGCTTGGTTGTTTTGGTTTTTGTGTGTGTGTGTGTTTTGTTTTTGTTTTTGTTTTAAGAATTTTACCTAGTTGGGGAGGGAAGAAGAATGCAAATCACATGCCTGTTTTGAATGTGTCCTATGTTAACTAGCGGTTTTGTTTCTTTATTATAATAATGTCACATTTTATTTTCTGCAACAAAAAATTATAATGATGCCCTATACCTTAAATGTCAGAAAAAAAGTAGTTCTGATGTGGTATAATAAACAAAAACAAAAGATATATGATCTGTGCCATAGATTGCTTTTAATCAAATGGGCAAGTGAAACTATATGGATGACAGCACAGGTTTAAAAAAAAAAAAACATGGCCTGGAATAAAGTCTTTCAAAAATGGTTGGCTCATACTCTGTCTGCAAAGGATGTATTATGATGATCAATTTGTATTTGTCTTCATTCTCATTAAAGTGATGGCTTAGGGAGAAGATGAAGAAAAGTTTATGGATTTCTGTCCTTATTTAGCTTGACTCAGTTCAGTCTTGTCCTCAGATGGATTCACTACTTATTCCTAAGATTAGGTTTTATTGTTTTCACATGCCATTTTCTTGCAGATCAAAAGTATAAACAACATTTGGGATACATAAACCATCTTGTCGTTGATGTTGCTTTGTTATTTTTGATGTCTTTCTTAATTTTTTTAGTTTAAAAGAACACAGACTGTAAGTACATAATTCAGTTACCACAAATTAAGAATAAAATTATTTGATAAATTTTTAAGAATAGTATTTTTATTCTTTGGAAATGTGGGGTAAACAATTTAGGCAAGATTTAAACAAAAATAGTAATTTCATATAAAATATATTTAGGATTTAAATTTTTTTTTCAACAGGTATCTCAGAATCATGATTGAAATAATAGTTTTTGGTTCATAGTTTTCAAAATGTTATTCATGACTTCTGGTATTAAAATCTTAAATTGTACAAGTAATCCTGAAATGGTGCTGACGGGAAGAAAATAAAATACTAAAATATGTAAAAAGTAAAAGGTGAAAAAGTCATCCTGTCCAATTCCACCACATCTTCCTCTCCTCAGAGCTACCACTTACAATTTAGCATATAACTTCCCACACCTTTTTCGATGCATATACATGAGACACATTTTATAACAATTTATTTGACTTTTTTTTTTTTTTAACATAAGTAGAATTCTCTTTTACAGTATATACGTTCTGTGACTTGCCCTTCCACTCAGTTTATCTTGGAAAACTTTATATGTCATTACATTACAGCTAGACTTCTCTCTCTTTCATTGCTGTAACTTCTCGAGTGGTCCTTCGAATGATGGATACTTGTTTCCAGTTTTTCACTATTATAAAAAAATTCTACAGTGAATATCCTTGAACATACATCTTTGTGAACTAGTCAATAATGGAGTTTCTTATTCTTATTGACTAGTAGTTTCTCTGTATTCTAGATGTTAATGTGTCGATTATATGTGGCAGATATTTTCTCTCTGTGCACTTGTCTTAGTGTCTTTTGTCATATGAATGTATTAAGTAATTATGTAGTCAAGTCTGTTGATCCTTTCATTTGTCATCTCTTTTGTGGATTCTGTATATCTAAATTATTTATACTCCTTTCCACAGAGATATTTTTACTTCCGTTTTTACCTGTCACTTATAAAACTTTTTATAGAACCCTGTGAATGATGGCAAAATGTATTAGAATGTGATACGTTCTGATGGCATGTAGTAATCACATAAGGATCAGTCGCAATTTTGATTATCAATTTCAGAGTTATAAAATAAAAATAATAAATTCTGGAAAAGTATTGGGGTTTTGTGTTATTTATGGAATCACTATAGGTAGTTGTCACTATTAATAAATTCATTTTTGACAGGTAATATGCCAGGCACTAAATGACAACAGTAGTACACAAGTGAGAAATAATCCCCTTTTTTGTGAATCCTTTAGACATGATTATCACCAGAAGTTTGTTTATTTCTGTTACCAGAAATATCTCATCTGCATGTAGCTGCTGCTGCTAAGAACTGTTCTCCACTAACTTTTGCTGCCATTCAGTGCCACATTACCCAACAAATATACTAGCAAAGCAGGGTCCCAAAGTAAAAAAGAGCAGCCTTGATTAACTTACTCAAAATGTTATTTCATGTATGTGTGCATGTGAAGTGTTGCACACTGTACATGGAGTGAGGAATCAGAACGCTAAGATTTGCAGTGTTTGGGGCCTCTAATTTGGCTCTGTGGCTATTTATCCCACCTTTCTATCTTGATACCCCACAGCTTGGGCTGATTTTGTCCCACTACCAGTAATTTCCTGTGGAGGTAGCTTATAATTTTCTGTTTCTGCCCTATAATAGGAGGGAATAGCCTCATAGGAAGTACCATGAAGCCAGTATCTCATACACCCTGGTATCAGCTCACTTCTGCTCTCTACCTTCTCTCCATACCTGAGGAGTACAATTTGAAAAAATAGAATTTTACTGGCACCCTCCTCCCCTTGTTAATAGGAGAGATTCGTGGAAGGGAGGAATCCCTTCTTTCTTCTAGATGGACTAACAAGGGAAAAGACAGGTGTTTTTTTTGAAGGGACTAGAACTTCTGCAGCTCAGCAGACTTGGACAAGTTTGACAATAATTCAGCTAGATTATTTTTTAACTAGACTTCTGAGTGCATTTGCTAACCTAACCACACATATACCAATTTATAACCTGAAATTTGCCTTTAAAGTCACAAAAGCACAAAGCACTGTAGTGCTTGTAACACTCTTCCATATTATTGTAGGTAACTAAATGACCATGGAATCTGGAGCAGAGAACCAGCAGAGTGGAGATGCAGCTGTAACAGAAGCTGAAAACCAGCAAATGACAGTTCAAGCCCAGCCACAGATTGCCACATTAGCCCAGGTATAAAATACATGGAGAGATTCCAAGTTATGTCTCTTCCAAGAGGAATATGTTTTAGACAAGAGGATTTAGTTTTTATTGCAGAGATATGCATAGAATCAGCAGAGACATTGTTAGAATATCAAAATTCCTATTTACTTAGCGTAATTTTAGAAATGATTCAGTTAACAGAACAGAAAAATGTATTGTTAAAACACTATTTGTAGTGACCTGATTCAGAATAATGACATTTTAACTAATGGGTAGAGATTGTCTCTCTTAAACAAGGGAAGAAAACCTGATATGGTAACTGCTTTTTTTTTTTTTTTTATCACACAGATTTAATTTGAGGCATGGGAATTTAATCTGAGGGGCTAAGTTTTCTATGTGCTTAAACTAAAAAATAGGGTAAGCAAATAACTTGACACACAAGTAAATTTCAAGGATAATAGTTTTGTTTCCTGTATCTTTTAAATATAATTCATGATTCCTTCATTTTGTCTTTGTCTTAAACATTCTATCTCTAGAGTTATATTCACTCATCTTAATTTTTTGTTCTGATGTATTCTTCCTTAAATATTTTATTATTTTTATTTATTAGATATTATTTATTTATTATTATTTTATTAACCATTATTTGCATGTACATATGAGTAAGAAAGATAGTTAATATAAAAACCAAATAACAGCCATAAACCTGCTAGGTAAAAGAGTGTGATATTGTCTCTTTCTGATAAAGGCTCCCAGGAGAAAACAATCCTAGCAGAGGCTCTACCATGTTGAGCTTCGGCTTCTTGAAGAATTTAAAAGCCCTCCTTGGGAAGTCCCTGAGCAAGAATGGGTCTTGGAACATAGGGGGCTAACCACAGATGGTTACTACACTGAACTAAAGTATGGCCCAAATACTGGATCTCCAGCAGGAATATAGTCAGAAGGAGTGGGCTGCTCTATGTTTTCTCCTAAGAGTACTAGGGCCTGCCTCCAACCCTCAGGAGTAAGGCAAAGCAGAATATATCTGGGGATGAAGTAAATACTTGGATCAGGTGCAGGAATGAAGGGGAAAGAGCCAGGACTTCATCAGTACATGGTCAAGGCAGACATGCACAGATCAGAATCTGGGGCTCACCCAAGCATTTGACCCTCTGGTAAAAAGAAGATACAATGCCAGAAGGGATCTTGGTGATGACAGCCACTATTCTGGCACTATTCTGTGTGATCTGCTTGTCCTCTAAGTCTGCTATATAATCCATTCCTGAAAATTCCTTTGCCCCTACTGTCTTTCTGTTACTGAGTTTGTGTCCTTGATATAGTAAAGCATGTTTTCCAGTGGTTTCTTAAGCAAGTTTGGGTAAAAAATTCTTGGTAAAGAAATAATTTTTCTTGGGGCACCTGGTGGCTCAGTCGGTTAAGCATCCAACTCTTGGTTTCGGCTCAGGTCATGATCTCCCAGTCGTGGGATGGAGCCCCACGTTGGGCTATGCGCATAGTGCTGAGTCTGCTTCAGATTCTTTCTCCCTCTCCCTCCACTCCTCCCCACTTGCGTGCGCTCTCTCTCTCTCAAATAAATAAAATCTTTAAAAAAAAAATTTTTTTTCTTAAAAATTTTGAAGGCATTGATCCACAGTCACCATGTAGTGTTGCTATTGGAAAAGACTAAATCCATTTATTTTCTCTCTCTGGTATCTTATTTCTCTCTCTTCACAGTGCTTCACTATTTCATTATTAGGGTCTTGGTTTGAATAGTTTTTATCCATTGTGTATATATATTCAGTGTGCCCTTTTATAGTGAAAACTCAGGTCTTCGATTCTGGGCAATTTCTTTATTTGGTTGAAGATTTTTTTTTTCCTAGGATCCTTGTGATCTAGATGTTATACCAATAGGATTGTTTCTCTGATTTTCTCATCTTTTCTCTACTGCTTTCTCTTTGTCTTTTTGGTCTGCTTTCTGGGAGATTTCTTCAGTTTCATGTTCCAGCCCATTTGTTGAATGTTTTATTTCTGCTGTCATGTTTCCAAGAGTTCCTTTTGTTCTCTGAATAGTCCTTTTGTATTTTAATAGCATCCTGTTTATGTTTCACAAAGGCAATATTTTCTGTCATCTCTGAGAATATTAATTAGGTTTTAAGTTTTCTTCTCCCCACATAGATTTTCCTCTGTATAAGCTTTTTGCCCTTCAATTTGTTTTGGTCTCCATCTTTCAAATTAGAAGCTTTCTTCAGATGTTTTATAATCTGTGCTTGTCTGCTCAAGTTTAAAGTAGGGGACCAAAAAACTGTATCAGAAGCTCTGGATGTGTTTGGGGCCTAATAACTATGAGTTGTGAACTTCATGTAGGGTAATTATGGCCTTCCCAATGTCAGTATCTTTTAAGTCTTTATTTAGCCCCTTGTCATTGATTAGGTTCCTCAGGGAAGGCTTTACTGATTCCCTTGCTTATACGGTAAAGGCCTGGGAGCTAAGAGAGAGAAGACTGGAGGTTAATAACCCCACCTTCAGCAGTATCTGTTGTAGGCAGTCAGGAGACCTGCTCTCCAGAAATTAATTCTCCATTTTTCTGTCAGCGTGGGGTAGATTATTCCTCCACAGGGAGTGTGGGGAGGGGATCCAGTTGCTTCTCAAAGAGCCTTCAACCAGCCTTCCTTATTTTCAGCCTTTCCCTTTACTCCACCTTCCAGGGTAACTTAGATCCTGAGCCTCTTAAGGATTTTATGGTTCAAATCAGGCTTTCCCTGCCTCTACCACATGAGTTGGCCTTCTGAGGTCTTCCAAGTTCATTACCATTCATCCTTCTTCTTTCCAGCCTCCAAAACTCTTACTATTATCTCTTTTCCCATTCTTTGCTCATGTGATTGTGCCTGTAAAAACAAAATCAATTTTACAAAGTTTAATTGAAGATTCAGGAAGGAACAAAATAATATACACATGTCTAAGTTGTCATCTTTATCAGGTAGTCCTCTAGCATTTACCTTTAAAAGCAGAATGACATGATGTTTGAGTTTTAGAAAAGCTAGTTTTCTGTTCCCATTTGTGTAGTTTTTGTTCTTTTTATGCCTAATTACAGAGTTTATTCACTTGCTCATCCAAGTCCTTAACACATACCTTATGGATTTTTGTCATAATTTCCTTTCATAATTCTGATACCTGGTATTTTTTTGTTGTCAGTATTTAATAAAAGAAAAATATAATAAAATTGTCAAATCCAAGATTGTAGTGATTTGAATAATGAACAGAAAAAAATTCAGCCCAACTAGTAAAGGAAGAAAACCAATCTAAAACAAAAATGAGATGCCTCATTTTACTTTTGGAATTTACAGGGGTTTTTTGTTTTTGTTTTTGTTTTTTAAGTGCCGGGCTTGAACTCTCAACCCCGAGATCAAGACCTGAGCTGAGATGAGTCAGATGCTTAACCGACTGAGCCACCTAGGCACCCCTACAGAGATTTTTCTTTTTTAAGTGGAAAGGAAAAAAACAGTATCGGTTTTGACTATGAGAATGTAAATTTTTATGGATTTAACTAAAGAGTTAGGTAAAAGGATGATCATTGCCTCTTCCTTGCAGTAGGCAAATTTGAAAACCTAAATATCCAATAATAAGGAATTTATTACACAAAGTGTAATTTTTATTGTGCAGCCATTAAAACCACTAAAGAAAATCATTAATGGTATGGAAAGATATTTATAATGGATTGAAAAGATAAATTAGATTCCATGATAGTGTGTTATAAAAATTGAGCGCATACATGGACCTTTAAAATCACCTAGATCTTGGGCGCCTGGGTGGCTCAGTCATTAGGCGGCTGCCTTCAGCTCAGGTCATGACCCCAGGGTCCTGGGATTGAGCCCCGCATCGGGCTCCCTGCTCGGCGGGAAGCCTGCTTCTCCCTCTCCCACTCCCCCTGCTTGTGTTCCCTCTCTCGCTGTGTCTCTGTCAAATAAATAAATAAAATCTTAAAAAAAAAAAAAAATCACCTAGATCTACAGCAAAAATATTAACAGCGATTAGCTCTGAGTGGTAGGAACATAAGGGATTTTTATCTTATTTTGTATATCTGTATTGTTTATAAAGTTATAATGAGAGGAGCTGTTCTGTAGAATGATCAGGGTACAGAAGGGATTAACTAACTCATTGAGTTAGCTTGTTACATTTATTCTATAAAATAGAGAAGAGGATGTAATAATTGCTTCAAGTATTGGAAGAGTTTTTGTATGGAACTAAGAGGAGATACTTTGAATAACTTAAGGTTGTGGTTCTCAAACTTCAGTGTAGGGGAAAGTGTCCTTAGGTCCACCAAGAGAGTCTAACTTTATAAACAGGCACCCGTGTAACTACCAGAGTTAGTCCATGGATCACATTTTGAGAACCAGGTAAAACCAAGCAAGATTTATAGTGGCCAGAGAGAAAATGAGTAATAAGAAGGGACTTCCTAACTGCCCAAAGATGGATGCTCATAGTTTTAACCTCTACTTTCAGTAGGGATCTTCCCTGCCCAAGCATCACAGGCAGATGTTTAACTGCCTGCTGAACAAATTCAGGTATCAGATCAATTCTACCGCCCCAACCACCCAAAAACTTCTCTTACTTGTGTTCTCTGTTTCAGTTGATGGCATAGTTTTACTAATTCTTACCCAAACATGAAATAGGTGGGTCATCCTGACCTGAATTCATTAAAATTGCCATCCTGAATTCCTCTCTCACCTCCTTCAAGTAGTCATTTATAAAGCTCTTTCTAGTCTGCCTCCTGAATTTTCCTTAAATCACTTCTCTCATTCTCCCTACCACAACCAGTGCTTTGCTTCTGGCTTTATCATCTCACCTTAACTACTATATAAGTTTTCTCAGTCTCCTCCCCTCCATGTTGTTCTTTCTCTGAAATAAATGTTTTTCATACTGCCACTGAAGTGATCTAAAATGCAAACCTCACCATGTTAATATTCCAGAGTTCAAAAGCCCTTCAATGCCTTTCCCAGTCTCCTCAGGATAAAGTGCAACTTCTTTAATGTGACATGGGTATGGCTTTTCATGACTAGCTCATTTAGCCTCTGCCTACTTACGCTACAATTTTATCTCGTCCCAGTTCCTACATTCTTACAGTAACATGCTTACATGGTCCAGTGGTACTGACTGTTAATTTATACCTCCTTCCCTAAAATTCTGTGCCTCTCCCCTGGGAGTCAAAATATGCCTAATTTGTAATCTTTGTTTCAAATTCGCATTCTTCCTTCCCCTCCTTTTTAGGTGAGGTTGGGTAGCTTTCCTAAGTGTGTATTTTTCTCTTGGCAAGCCTCATTACTTCACTGGATTACATTTATTTGTATTCTCTTCCCCATGCCTTCCCACATGTACCCCAATAATTTCCTTAATGTTTGTAGTTTCAGTTCTGACATTGCTCCTAGCACATGGGTCCCCAATCAGTGTTTACCGAATCAGCAGAAAATATTGAACCCCTGAATGTGTTCAAGCATTGGAACAATAAATACCGTCTGATAGACATATATGACATAAGAGCCCTTTGGACCTGGATATTGATTCATTAAAATTGCCTTCTTTGTGCCCAGGAGAAAATTAGTATCTCTTATACTCCCTTAACTCTGTTCTTTTATTCCTTTAAGAAGAAAATAAATGCTTAAAACACCAACTATTATATCAGTTTGGGGGGGTAGAAATTTTCAGTTTATAATACATATTAATACTTTCTCACTAATAAAAGGCATACTTGTAATTAGTTTAAAAGAGAAAACTATGCTTTATATTTTAAGATGTATGTTTGTTCTAGACTTAGCTAAGTTTTGCCTAAGTTTGAGAGCAGTTATATTTTAGAATATTGCTTATTTAACACATAATATTCTGAAGACCTTTATATTTCTTCAAAGCTAGCATATCTCTTGACCTTGGGTAAGTTACTTAATCTCTTGAGTGCTTGATATTTCTGTCTCTAAAATGGAGATGATCCTTATTATCCAGTCTTGATTTCTTCGAAGAGCAAAATGAGAAACTGGACATGAAAGCAGGTAGGAAAATGTAAAGCATCATACAGTTAAAGTGTATTTAGTATTCAGAGGAAGTCTGTGTTACAAATTTTGATATTACATTAAAATAGTTCTTTGTTGTGTGGAAGGATTTGAAAGGGGACATTTATAGTTTTTTTTTTAAGAATATTAAATGTAATCATTAGTTTCTTTCACACCAATGAAATACTTGTCTGGCAGAAAAGTCATCTTTTTCCTGCTAAAAAGTTGCTTCATATTGAACATGACTACTCTCAAGGAGGTATCTGTGATGGTAATTTTTTTCCATGTTCAACACCTTAGGTATCTATGCCAGCAGCTCATGCAACATCATCTGCTCCCACCGTAACTTTAGTACAGCTGCCCAATGGGCAGACAGTTCAAGTCCATGGCGTTATTCAGGCGGCCCAGCCATCAGTTATTCAGTCTCCACAAGTCCAGACAGTTCAGGTATGTGTATAAAAAGTTCTGCATCTACTTTCATAACTGTCGTTTATAGCCATATCTCTCTCCTTTCATTAGTTATGGAAATAGGAACATACCTAGTTGAGAGTTTATTTTACTTTACAGTAAAGGAATATGCTGCGTCTGTATAGTCACCTTATGTGTAGGAACATATATACACAAGAACAGACATAAGAAAAAGACTTTTTCTTAAGCTACAGAAGAAAAAGAATTGATTGTGGAAAATCATTAAGTACATGGGATAAGGTGGAAATGTTTGGGAAAGACTAAGGCTGATATACCTTAGTTCAGGAAAATTGAGATACAAAAATAACTCTATTTTCTAAACATGGAATTGGAAAAAATAAGCCCTTGTCAAAATTAATAACCTTACCCAAGATATTAACTTGAATTTAGAGATCATAGAAAGCACTGTAAAACCAGCTATGTCTAGGAGTATAAGTTAGAGTAGATAACTTTGAAATAATGATATATTCAGGGATTACACTGCGCATGTTATCTAATTCTTTGGAGAGATTGTTCCTTTGGATTGAATCCAGAGGGAATAAAGGCACGTAGAGCTCTGAATAAAGGTGACTACTCTATTGAACTGTAGGGAACCTAGAGCAGTAGACATCTTTACAGTGAGCATATTGAAAGAAAAAAAAGACTTGAACGTTCATTCAAGTAGGCCATAACCCCAGCCTCCCATTTCATATTTTTTGCTTCACAGTCTTCCTGTAAGGACTTAAAAAGACTTTTCTCCGGAACTCAGGTGAGTCCTAGGTCCTAGATTTGGAAAGAACTATTTTTAGAAAGGAAGGTGAGAAATTATTCTTTATGTCGTTATCCTTCTATAAACATGCAATTTAAGGTTTGTGTAAAGATTTTAGAGATCTTCTAGGTCTAGGCCAAACTTATTACCTGCCCAGCCCTTAGTGTATTGCTTACATTCCCTGTGTATCTTTTCTCCTCTCCTCCAAATGGTGGTCCAGCATTACTTGAACACTTGAACTAAAGGAAGCCCTGTCTCCTGAGGTAACCAATTTATAAAGAGGGATAATTGCTGAACTGTTCTTTGCTGTGGTGAGCCAGAATATACCTTTCTAAAACTTCTACCTAGTGGTCCCAGTTCCATCCTCAGAAACTAAGCAAATTTGATTCCTTTTCTGTCAGACCACTTCCTCTCCCTCGTCTCCTGCACCCTTCCTACTTAAAAAAAAAAAGTCCAGACTAAACAAATGTCTGTTTTTCTTCAGCCATTTATTATACGGTGTAGCTTTGATTGCTCTTTACTATCCTTGCTATCATCCTGTGGATGAGAGCTGTTGTGTTTTCCTTGAGTATGGTAGCCAGACTGATATTTGTAGAGGGGAGAAGTGCTTCCTTTGCCCTGGAAGTGTTCTATTAATGTCCTCAAAGGGCATATTTGACTTAGTCAGCCATATTATACTATTGAGTCCTTGAGCCACTGTTACCCACCTTTACTTCATTCTGTCCTTCTACTTTTGGTTTGCTTGGACACTTAAGTGGAAGAAAAAGAAAAGAATGTTTTCATGTAAAAATATCAATGTGTATGAATTTCCATATTGAAAGATACTGGGAGTGGAATTTGTTACCAGGATGGAGACAGTGTTTTCCCGCTGAAAACTGAACTATTTGACATTTCTGTGGAATCACACTGACTGACCAGTAGTCTTCTATCCTTTGCCTCAGTTTTTATTTCATTGAGTGCTACCTAACTATTTTCCATACTATGCCATTACTAATTCCCCACTCATTTTCTTCTTGGTAATAGTGGAAAGAACCTGACCTGCTAGTCAGGAGACCTAGATTCCAGATCTTACATTAATCCTTACTTTCTCTTTTTCACTTAGAGTAGGAGGATAACACACCAAAATTATCAAAACTTGTTATATAAATAACACACCAAAATTATTAAAACTTGTTAAGATTATAGTTTTTGGTCATAATATGTGATATTTAATTGTTGATTATATTTTTAATTTTAATCTCTATTTTGTGACAATAATAATTTGGACCTGGGGGTTGTATGGCTATTAACTTTCTAGAAATATTTATTCATCTTTTCAAGAGTACATTTTTCATCAAGGTGAGCTTATATTTATAACTGAAAGCCTGAATTCTCCAAATACACACAATTTTTTTTTTTTACTTTATTTTTTTCTGTAAAGGGCCTAAACCGTGAAGAATATATTAAACTTCAAGTGTTATTTCACCTGCTTAACAGGGATGAGTATATTAGTAACTAGGAAGTAGTTTACATCAGAAGAGATATTTAAACAAGGAGATAAATGGTCCTGCAAACTTCTAGATGGGAAAATATGAGTATTCTAGAGCATCATTTTCAAAAGAAACAAGACACTTTTCTCTTGATGTGAGAATAAGATATTAGGACCTGTGTTTCTGTTTTTTAATCCAAGAATATTAGAAATTACGCTGTACTAATATTTCATATATGGCTTGACATTAGTGCCCTAACTTTTTCCTTATGTATATCAAGTTTCATAGATTATATGAGAATCCCCACAAAAATAGTGGGAGTTACACGAATGTATAGAAGTTAACAGTGGCATCTTCACTTTTCATTTGTTAGCTTTAAGTGCATTTTTAATATAGTGCAGTTTAAACGTGTCAGGATTTATGGATTATGTTACCTTAAATTATTTAACATTCATTCCTTCAACGAATTTTTATTGATCACATGCTATGTGCCAGTCACTGTTCTAGGTGCTATGAAAGACAGCAGTGAACAAATAATACTTCTCTATTCTCATGAAGATCACATTTGAGCGAAGAGAGACAATGAAAAAATAAAATATGTCAGGTGAGGATAAGTGCTGGGAAAGATGATGAAAGCAGGGGAAAGGGATAGAGAATGTGGAGGGAAGGGTGTTCTGTTTTATGTAGGGTGGTCAGGGAACACAGTGAGCAGAAACCAGAAGACAGTGCAGGAGGTTGAGCCATGCAAATAGTTAAAGCAAGTCCTGCTTCATATATCAAGGTATAGTAAAAAGATGTGGCTCAAATAGAATGAGCAAGAGGGAAAGAGCAAGTTGGATGAAACGTTTGATAGAATCTTTACAATACTTTGTAATATGATGGGAACAATAATAAAAACCTTTTGTGCAAAATAGGGATTCAGTGGTTATTATGCAGCAAAGTATTTAAGAGTTGTCTAACATAAGGCTGAGTTACTTGTTTGTGTTTTACATGAAACAAGTGTTCCAAAGTTTCTGGTCTTTTTAATGATGGTAAGCAAGGATTTGCAAGGGATATATTACCTAACAGATATTTTTGAAAAAAGAAATCCCTTTCAACTATCCTGGGAGAAAGTGACATTTTAACAATGCAAGAGAGTAACTGCTTTTTGAAAAAAAGTTGTGCTGTGGAGAGAGCATTTTGAAAGAAGTTCAAAAATGTTTTCATACTTTTTTTTTAACTGCAAGCAATATAAATTTGTCAGTTCAAAATCAAATATATATACTTTTAAAACCCTGGAAATAGAATTCTTTAAACTATTCATAAGTCTTCTAGAGTTTCAGTAGGTTTTGAACCTACTGGTTAAAATACAAAACTGTAACACCTATTATTATTAGCATACAATAACTGAGAGCCAGGGAGATGAAAATCTCATCAAAAGTTTGTATAATTGGTAGATGAAAATGAAAAGTGATTTTGTATTTAGTAAGCCCAGTCAAAAATGCACTTACTTTTATATCTACTGCCCATGAGTTCCCTTTTTCAACAATAGCAAATACTAAATCAGATTTTCAAAAGCCTAAGCTTAGAATCAGATTTTTGAGTCACTGTTATAAAATATTAAATGACTTTTTAATGAAGCATATTAAATCACATCATTCTCACTCTGTAAAAAATGAAATGATTTATGTTTAAGAAATTTACAAATACAATTTAATATTTACACTTATATTATCTCTTTAAATAATAAAAACAACACTTAAAGTTTACAGAGGAAATAAATATGCTTATGTAAAATTTTCCTGTTTATAAGGAAGATCTGCAGGTGAAAAGAGTTTGGAAATCATTATTCTAGACGTTTATTAATGTCCTGATTCACAGAGTAAATAACTGTACCTAAACCATAAGTCCGAACTCTGCACAGTTACTTGTAAGTTTCATAGAGACCGTGTATGATTTGAGAAAGCGTCTAATTTGGTTTTAGTCATGGTGTTTTTAATTTTGAAATTTCAAATAACTTCAAAATGGGAAGATTGTCCTCCTTACAAACTTACAAACAGGAGGTATGGGTTTTTAAGAAACTAAAAGAACGTTGAGAAATACAGATCTAAAACTTTACATCTGGAAGTGATGGTTTGGCTTTTGAAAATGTCTCAACCACTAAGTGGCCAAGGTTAAAGACCTATTTAAGGAGCTGAGGAGAGGGTTAATGAGAGAGGTGACAGGAGATAAGGACCAGAGGAAGGGTCTGTACCACTGGAATGTGGTGGTAGTCTGTGATACCTGTGATTGGAATATCATTTTTATATGGTTATTTTTAATAACTGTTAAGTATATGTTAAACTGTAATTAATAGTTGTTATTTATAAAAAGGATTTTTGACATGATTTTTATTAGTCTCGTCTCAGAAATGTGGATCCAGTGTGTGCTTTGGATTTCGTTTTTGTTTTTGTTTGTTTTGTTAGGCAGTCCATAGGAAGTGGCTTCATAGCTCATGAGTTCTCCCTGGATAATATTCCCAAAGAGGAAATGTTAACATTCGTTATGTGTTATTGAATAATTCTGAATTCCCTTTAAATTGCAATAGTTGTAATCACTACATAGTGACAAGTTAATTCCTTCTGTCTGAAATCACAAAATCTTTTAGATCAGAGGAAAGAATGCTTTTTTTCCTACTAAAAGCAATAGATCTACTGAGTTTGGAAAAAGAAAAAAAATCAAAGGCCATATATTAGAAAGCCACTTTAATTTATTTCATTTCAAAACTGCCCTGTGGGTAGTTCATATAGAACGTTTTTAAATTATTATTTTAATTACTTTCAACTTGGGAGAGTATGCCTAAGTCACTCTCTGCCCTTAAAAAAAGGTTGTAAGGATGAGGGTCATGCAAAGAAGGCAAAGAACAGCAGAGGAACTGAGGTTCTGAGAAGTACTATGAAGGTAAACCCTTGTCACAGTACTGTCCACTTTGAGTTCAGTCTTGTTATCCCTTGAAATTCTGACTCTCTGCTAAGGTCTTTTCATAGCTCCTCATCTGCTGTACATCAGAGTTTCTGTGCAGAGACTTCGCTGAGCGGGCCGGTTACAGCAGCTAAAAATTAGTGGCAATTGTCCTCTGTGTTCCTTCGGCAGTAGCTGTAACATTACTACTCTGCACAGAATCACAGACTAAATTCAGCCTTGCACGTCTTTTCATCTGTCTTTTCTGGATTCTTTAAGTGTTGCCTGTTAATGTATAGGTCTCTAAGAGTATTGTTCTTATACTTTAAAGTGTTTGGGTGAGGCACGTTATTTTATTGTAGGTGTATTTTGTGAAGCATGACTAGATTTACCTAATTTCATTTTAGAGTGAGAGCCTATTACAACGTGCCCTGTCAAAATGAGTCCCTACTCTCCAGAACCCATAGGCTCAGACTACATAGAGTCCCTATGGGATTCTTCAAGTTCCTCTGAATATGTTTTTTCTTGTTGCCATTGCCCTGAATTTTGACATGGAGCTGAACCACACATACTCTTTTGCCTTCCTTAAATCTAATTCTCACTCTGACAGCATCATGCACATCTAGTTCAGGAAAGAGCAGAAGGCTCCCGCTGATTAGACTAGAGAAGCTTGGTGGTATAAATTTGACAGGCAGGCTTGCCCAAGTGAGTGAACTTCTAGTCTAAAAATGGTCTAAAAATACCTCTGGTTGCTGCTTCTGACAAAACTGGTTTGAGATTGGAACCAACAGGATTTTGATGCTGGTAAGGATGTCTAAAACTAAGATGCCAATTATTGACAGTGGTGCCACTACTTCCTAGCTTTGTGACTTGGGTGAGTTACTTAACCTCTTTGTGCCTTAGTTTTTCCATCGACAAAACGGATATAATAACGATACTTGTCTATTACCTGATATTACTGTATTCGTATTAAGTAATGTAATATGTGTATATGCTTTAGCATAATACGCGGCACATAGTAAGTTCTCAGTAAATGCTAGTTGCTATTATTATTATTATCCCATGTAAAATCTTTGTTCAGCTTATCTTTATTATTTTTCAGTCCAGGGATACTTTTCCAGAAATGCACAGTTCTTTACCTTGAGCTTTTGCTTAATAAAAATTGTGGAATGCCAACTTTGAAAGTCTATGTGTAGACTAACTTGCTAGAAACAGCCATCTGGAACATGGTGGAGGATCACCAATCTTATTTTTCAGTTGTAAATACATTCATAAGTGTTTAACAGTAAAAGAAAATATTTGTATAGTCACTATGTAGACTTATGACCAAATATTTGCTCATTTATTCTTCCTTCATGTCAGAAACGTTATTTACTTGGTAGTTGTGTTAACAGTTGTAAGAAAACAACTGACAGTAATATTGATGCATTCAAGATTGGTTACATGAAGTCCTGAAAGAGGTAAAACTGAATTTGGATATCACGAAAGTTTGGTTTTGACAAAAAAAAAATTAGGCCCTCTGACTTCTCTATAGGATAAGTAAAAGGGAAAGGAATATGATTGGTGTGGTTGTCTCCCATAAAAATTGACTTTTTTCTACTGAAGCATGTATAAGATGTATATATGTCCTTTTATATTTCACTTTTTCTTAAAATTCATAAAAATTTTATGGAAACCAAACTCGATTATCAAGATAAAGTTCTTCTTTATTTTCAGATTTCAACTATTGCAGAAAGTGAAGATTCACAGGAGTCAGTGGATAGTGTAACTGATTCCCAAAAACGAAGAGAAATTCTTTCAAGGAGGCCTTCCTACAGGTATGGGATTTAATAGTTAAAAGAATTTAGAATCGAAGATGTCAGGAAGCCTTAGGTAGTTGCAGGTGAAAAGATGTCAGAAGACCAATTAGGTGCTCAATTCAAGACCACAGAAATTACTTCTCTTCATCTTGAGGTACTTCTCTCTCTTAAGTTGAAGTTTATTGTACAGAAAAAGAGAACTTTTTTACTCTGAATAGTCCTGGATCAACAGTGATTTTTTTTTTCCTGCTTCTGTTTTTGTAGACTGTGCCAGCTGCTGGTTTTCTGTTAAAAAGTTTGGAATATATTTCATTAAGTTATAGCATTTCTAGTTATTTGTCAGTTCTGACACTATACTATTTACCTACTTAATAGCACATTTGCAAACCATTTCTCATGCCATGGTACTTAGTAGATAACTATTTATTAATTTAATATTTGTTTCAGGGTGATGCTGATATCCCCTAATTTTAGGGGCACCTTACTATAGTTTTTGTGTTCCAACTGTAGAGATTGCCTAGTCCATGACTTGTCTCCAAGATGTACCAAAACCATTTTTTTATATGTAGAAATTGGCTCCATGCTAAATATCTCCAGGAAGAGCAATTCCATAAAAACCATAAGCTTACTTCAAAGTTCAATAAATTTCTGTTATTAGCCTAAGTTGTTTTTATTTTTCAAAGGGATGGTTAAAATTTTTTTTCCACTTGGCTACTAAGCTAGCCCTTTTCTCTTTTCTCACAATTAAATGAAGGATCCTAAATGAATATCAATAAACTGATTTTGAGGTCTTAAGAAATTTTGTTACCAAGTATGTGTTGTATGCATTTATGCTCATAATCTCTCTCTTTTTTTTAATATAGCTAGTTTTAGATTTGAACTTTGAAATATATCTCATGTTTTTAACACTTTCGATCCTGGAGCAAATCCATCCAGGTGTTAACAAGCCACAAGGCTTCTCTGTATATAAATTCCCGGCAAATAGTTCTAAATAAATTCTGTAAATTCTAGTTGTAGACTTTATAAAATAAGAGCTTTAGGGCGCCTGGGTGGCTCAGTTGGTAAAGTGTCCGACTCTTGATTTCATCTCAGGTCATGATCTTGGGTTCGAGAAATCAAGCCCCGTGTCAGGCTCCGTGCTCAGTGTGGAGTCGGCTTGAGATGCTCTCTCTCCCTTCCCTCTTTCCCTTCACTCATGCTCTTTTTCTCTCTAAGTCTTAAAACATAAAGTAAAATAAGAGCTTCATGCTGAAAAAGATCTTTTATTATAACCTATATCCTAGCAAAGATCATTTAAATAGTAACACCTTAATTCATAATCAGATTAGAAGATGCCTGACACCACACATATGTAGAGAGTTACATTCATGGAAGATAATATATCTTCCCTTAAAATCATTATGTATCATTATTTTGTTTTAGGCTTATAAATTCTTGAAACCTAGCTCTTATGTCTTGACTATAATAAGATCTTTAACAGAATCCTTACAATATGCTTGTAAGGTTGGAGAAATGGGGATTAATTGATACACCCAGCTTTATGGTGATTAAACTATACCCAAGAAAGTTCTTAAAGGACTCTCACTTGGTCTCCCCTGGCTTGGTATTTTACCAGCAGTTCAGCTGAAAAACATAGAAGCCATGCTTATCAGATTTGCAAGTGACAGAACTTTAAAGGTGAAGTGCCCTAATGGATGCGAGAATAAGTACTTTGAAAGATCAGAGCAGGGGCACCTGGGTGGCTCAGTCGTTAGGCGTCTGCCTTCGGCTCAGGTCATGATCCCAGGGTCCTGGGATTGAGCCCTGCATCGGGCTCCCTGCTCGGCGGGAAGCCTGCTTCTCCCTCTCCCACACCCCCACTTGTGTTCATGCTCTCGCTAACTCTCTCTCTCTGTCAAATAAATAAAATCTTTAAAAAAAAAAAACAAAGATCAGAGCAGCCAAGGGAAACACTTAGTTGTTGGTGATAATTATAAAATTTCTGAACTTGAGTTTAAAATAAAACCAGTTCTTTAAGTACAAGATTCTGGATTAAGAATTTGTTGTTGTTGTTGTTTTTAAGAATTAATTTTTAAAAGATAGTTATGTTCCTTAATTACCATTAAGTTATATACGTATATAGTTGCCAAAAAAGCCAGTATACCAAAGGCTACATTGGTTAAAACCTAGTGTCTAGATTAAGGGAAGGAATTAATCCCACTGCTCAGACAACATCTGGAATATTTTCTGTAAGAGAAAGTGAAATGTATCTCCAGGATACAAGAATGACCAACGTGGTCTGGAGCAACAATATTAGATACTAAAAAGAGAAGACAAGAAATGATCATTGGCTTCATGCAAAAGAGAAGATTTATTTGCAGGTCTAGAGTAGTAGCTTTTAAACTTTTATTTTTTACCGCAATCCACAATAAGAAACATCTTTACATTTTTCTCTATATAGATACAGTTGTCTATATTCATTTATATATATCTATATATATAGGTATATATACAGGTACACACATATATATAGGCGTCTAAGCAAAATATACAGCAGTATTCACCCTTATTGTGTGACGTTTAGCTGTTTTTTATTTGTTTTACATTGGTTGCAACATACATAACGCTTTTATGGCAAACATATGGGTTGTGACCTAACTTTGAATAACGTCGTGCTGAGGACCAGTACTATTCAAAATGTGGTCCAGAGACCACACTGGCAAATCAGAATCTGGTTAGAAGTGCAAGTTCTCAGGCCCCTACCCCATACCTAATGAATTAGAATCTGTGGGGTGGGGAGCCAGGATCTCTTTTAACATGTTCTTCAAGTGCTTTTCAATGCTAAAGTTTGAAATGATGCTCTAGAGCAGTGATGCCCAGAGTTGATCTTTTTTTTTTTTTTTTTAAGATTTATTTATTTACTTACTTGAGAGAGAGTGAACGCATGAGGGAAGGGGCAGAGAAAGAGAATCTTCAAGCAGACTCCCCACTGAATGCAGGGCCCCATGCAGGCCTCCATCCCAAGACCCATGAGATCTAACCCATGAGATCACAACCTGAGCCAAAACCAAGAGTCAGACATTCAACCGACTGAGCCACCCAGGCGCCCGCCAGAGTTGATCTTTTGACCAGTTGTCAGTCTATAAGCTGTTTAAAATAGTTGTATTTCTCATTCGAAAAGAGATAAGGGAGAAAAAATCATCCTTATGGTAAGAATAGGAGTTATTAAACTCCTATTGAAATGAAAACAAGCAGATGTGGAAAAGAAATGAGTAACAAGTCTGAGAAATGAGATATGCAATTAGGTGGAATTAAGAAAAACAACAACCAGTAAGTGGGATAAACTAGATATGAGTAGCTGATGAGAGAATTGGTAAACTGGAAGGGAACTAAGAAAGTAACTCAGAATAGAGAACAGAAATACGGAGAAAATGGGAAAGACAGGTGAAAAGTCATGGGGAATAGAGTGAGGTGCTCCAGTAGAAGAAGCACTTGTAGAATTTCCAGAGAGGAAATTGGGCCAAAAGAAATATTGAAAGAGATAATAGTAGAATATTTTCTACAATTCCAGTAAAGGTAATTACATGGGTAAATATAAAAGCAGTATTATAATACTTTGCTTTGAAACTCTTTTTTTCCTATGTGATTAGAAAGACAAATGCATAAAACAATAATTAATGAATTTGTTAATGAGCACACAGTGTATGAAAATGAAATTGTGACTATAGCAACATAAAGGGGCAGGGTTTGGGTAGACATTGAAGCTAAGTTATTAATTCATACTGGTTTGTTAGAAGTTTAAGATGTCAGAAATTACTTGGGTTGGGTTTTTTCCCCCTCTTCTGTGATTATGTTACTCATTTGAAGTATGGTCAGGTTCATTTTTTTTATTTGTATTCCATTTTAAGAATTTTTCCCCCATCTGTGTTGATATTATTTTTTCATATGTGAAACATGAACATGGTTCTTTAAAAAGTCAGAATTGTACAAAAAAATACACTCACAAGTGCCCCCCCCCCCAATTTTTCTATCTTTTTTTTGCTTCTTATCAATCCCAGTAGATTAAGTAATCTCATTAAACTCCATCTGGTATTATCCTTTCTGAGTTCATTCTTCAGTAGAAGAACAAATACATATATTTCACTTTCTTTCTTATAAAAAAGGTACCATGCTATACCCATTTTCTGGATGAACTGTAGTTTATTCAGCCATTCTCCTATGTAGAGGCATATAGATTGTTTCCCATATTTTGCAGTTACAAACAGTGCTACCATGAATAACCTTATGTATTTTTGTACTGTAGTGAGTATATCTTAAGGGTAAATTCCTGGAAGTAAGATTGCTCTGTAAACATAGTTTTGTTACCTGTCACCAAATTTATTCCATAAGGGTTGTGCCAATTTTATACTCAACAACAGTGAGAGTGTCTGTTTTCTCACAGCTTTGCTAACAGAATATACTGTTAAACTTTTTTTTTTTACTTTTTACCAATCTGAGAGTTGAGAAGTTTAAAATCAGGTTTTTGGTCTTTATTTAATTTTTTTTTTTTTTTTTGCCTAAATTTTTATGAGTTCTTTATATATTGAGGATATTGGCCCTTTATCTGTCATATATGTAAACCTTTTCTCCTAGTATTGTTGATCATCTTTTAACTTTGTTTTTGGTGTTCTTTGCCCTGCAAAAGGATTTTTTTTCTGTAGTCAGTGTTATTAATCTCTGCTTACACCTAGATTTCCAATCACAGCCTTCATTTTCATTCAGATTAAAGAGAAATTCATCCCTTTTTTTTTCTAGTCCCCGTATGATTTCATTTTGACATACAGATTTCTCATCCATGTATGGTTTATTCTTGTTCTTAAATTTTTAACTGCTGTCCTGGGACACCTGGGTGGCTCAATCAGTTGATTTCAACTCAGGTCATGATCTCAGGTTCGTGAGATTGAGCCCTGTGTGGGGCTCCACACTTAGCACCAAATCTGCTTGTCCCTCTCCCTCTGCTCCTTCCCCCTCCCACTCTCTCTCTCTCAAATAAATAAATAAATGAATACAATCTTTAAACTGCTGTCCTAAGCAGTAGCAGCTTTCTGCCCATTTTCTTTTCGTATTATATATATTTAGCCAATAAATGTTTTTCATTTTAATTAATATAGTTTTCTATTTTTCTAGGAAAATTCTGAATGACTTATCTTCAGATGCACCAGGAGTGCCAAGGATTGAAGAAGAGAAGTCTGAAGAGGAGACTTCAGCACCTGCCATCACCACTGTAACGGTGCCAACTCCGATTTACCAAACTAGCAGCGGACAGTATAGTGAGTAAAAGATATTTCTGCTTTGGAAAGTGAGATGAAAAACTAATGGCTGCATTCTCCTTAAAGGAATCCTAAAGTGCCAACCCTTTCCTCAGTCTTGGATGCCATTATTATATTTCCTTTACTGTTCAGTATGCAGAGTTCTGTAACAGAAGTATTTTCTTTTTCTTCAGGGTTTTTGATAGGATTGCTCAAGCATGTTAGCCCTTCAAGTGGTCCTTTGTTTTGTGCAAATGCCAGGAGTGTCTTGGAAATTTTTTGAACCACTGCTTGAAACTAGATTTTAGTCCTTGTGTAATATATGATGTTAATAAAGGAAATACTTTTTCAGATAAGATAACCATTTTTTGATTATGTTTAAAGACAAAAATGGTCTCACTATTCATCTATTATTTTATTAATTCATCTTCCCTTCTAAAAGTAGCATTTTAAAATCATATTTAATGTTTTGTGGTGGGGGTTGAGAGGCTTGGTTACAGTCTACCAGCACATTCAATTACTCTTTTTAATATAAAAGGTAATGTAGTGAATTTTGGTAACATAAACATAAGGACTGCTGAAATTGGTTCACAGAAAGCAAAGATTCTTTGTGCAAAATTATCAAAGCTTCCAGTTCTGTCATGTTTCTGTCTGACACTTAGGTCTCTCTTCTTATCTTTCACCCAAATCTGTTAACAAAGTCTTTCCAGTTCTGCTTTTGTTTGATCAGAGGCATTTGTGTGAATGGTATGTTTTTCTATCTGTTCCCAATACCTTTTGACTCCCGGAGTGCCTTTTACATAGATTTCTTCATTTTGATTTGCTCATTAAATCCAGTACTTCCCATTATGTAGTTTTTCCCCCTTTCCTCCTTATTACAAATTAAATGTACACATTGACACTCCCTTGTTGCATTAATTTTCTAATACCCTGGGGTGGTCTGTGTCAGGAATGTGTATAAAAGTTTGACTCCCAAGTTAATAGTTTTCACAGTATAGCTCAACCTTGGTTTACATAACTAACTTGCATTCTAACTGTATTAAAAACAGATTCCCAAGTACCAGACTTTTTAGTTCTCCCAAAGTTGAAACTTTTGAAAGTAAGCAGAAGGACAGCATTTTTGACTAAGCTTCTTGTCCATTCTGAACTTCCTGGAGTTCAGTCCCCTTTTTCCTTCTTGAGTTCTTTGTTGACAGAGATAAACAGGTATTATCTATGAACATGGATGTGTGTATTTTTAGCCTTATATCCAAATAATTGGAATTATTCCAGATGTGTGCATGCTAAGACATTGATACATGAACTTTACTTTTCCCCTGCCACAACAGAATCCTGAGGGATACAGCATACTCCTGTTAGTGACAGTGATTCACTTACTGCAGGGATTCTCACTTGCCGGAGAAAGCATGCTCTTTTGGGAATAGGCTTATCAGAATGTCAAATGGGGAAATGAAATTTAGAAATGTGTATGTTTAATTTGACACACCACTCTCTTCCAGCAACTGGAAATTGCTAGTTTTTAAAGGTTAATACTTTCATATTTTTAAAGTTTTATTACATTATCTTTATCCCTTATTTACACATAGAGCCTTGACAGAATTGATGTAACATGTTCTTGATTGTCATTAAGAATCAATAAAATGACTACTTCAATATATACAACATTATATATTTCTTAACTTATAATCCTTTTCATCTCTCCGCAGTAGTTAAAAGTTTGGTATATATCTATCCATTCTTTTTCATTCTGTTCATACATAAATATATTACCATATATTTTGATACAAGTGAGACCTACATTATTAGTATACCATGAACAAATGTATACATACAGATACATATTTCTTTAACAGCTATATTGTGTTTCACTATATAACTTTTATTTAAACATTCCCTCCCCCTTAAATATTCCCTCCCCGCCCACACACACACTGATCAACATTTAAGACATTTCTACTGTTTCAAACACTGTGACGTGAACATTCTTATATATGTAGTAGCGTCTCAATGGAATAGCATCCAAAGAGTGGAATTGTTGAATCAAAGAACATCCTGCCCAACTTCCTTTCCCAATGTCTGCACCAGTTTGTATTCCTTCCATAAGTTGTTTTTTTTTTAATTTCAAATTTTAAATGCTGTTAGTAGTTTTATCCATTACTTGGTTCACTGTTCCTGATAAAGTCTTATTTGAGAAATTCTGTTCTAAGGTAGAAACAATGTGTCTATCTTTTTAAACTTGAATTTTTTGTTTCACTAATTACAACTGTAACCCATGATGTTTTCCTCTTTACTTTCACTACTCAGAATCTCAGATTATTCTCTTCTTCCTCTAGATTTTCTGGTAGAATCTCTGTGGTAGAGACCCATCAGTTACTTGACTTCTAGCTTCCTCTTCTTGTTTTAATGCATTTAGTTTTATTGAAAGCCATCTCAGATCCTTCTGGAATAATCAAGTATATAAATATATATTATAGAGAAAAATACATCTGAAAGGATCGGACTTCCATTTTCAGAATACTTTCACATACATGATCTCATTTGATTTTTATAATTGTACTTAGTGGCTAGAACCAGGTATTTTTATTTTTATAGAAGAGATAACAAATTCAAATAACAGTTTAGTGGTAGAATCTGGACTAGAACCCAGGTGTCCTGATATCTAGTTTCCTACTTCTTTTCTCCCACCTTGAGTTTATTGTATATAGCCAAGAAGAAAGCTGTGTATGTTAAATGCAATGGAATTTGCTTATTAACTCTATATGAGAAATTGTGGTTTAATTCTGTTAATCTTCTGATTCCTTCAAGTTACCTGCAATATTAATCTCAAAATAGTTCTTACATATTCCTTTTTAATTGTCTAAGATAAGTAAAACTTATGGAAATGGCTAAAGTGAATGGATTGTATATACCAGTATCTTAATTTCCATAGGTGTCATTTGCTAAACCAAATCATACTTATTTACTGTTACTATTTCTTGATCAAACAGTAGATAATCAATTTTCCTTATATAGATGACTCGGGATATTAGTTGCCTAGAGCTGGCTAATAAATGATCTCAAATAATTCCCTTCTAACAGACAAAATAAAAGTAACCTGCGTAAATCACACATTTGTTGACTTAGTAAGTTAAAATCCATTATGCATTTTTATATGTAATATTGTGATTTTTAGTCCTCTTTCCAGAAAACTTTAAGAGGGAGAGTGTCTAGAGAGGCTCCAACCACCTATCTTGATGCTAGTATCTGAAGGATTGCTTTGTTCAAATAAAATAATAACCAACTTCTTTTCTTTCTATTAACTTTTTCCATGTACGGTAGCATAAAGGTGAATTCAATTTTTAATAAAGTGAAATATCTTTTAGTATGAACCAAAGGTGATTACTTCATAACAGATGAATGACAGTGTGGTTAATTAGTGAATAATTAAAGGATCCTGTGTGAGAATGCATGGATATGTAACTTAGAGTTTATGCATTGCTAGAGTTAGAGTTAGAGAACAGAATGCACTACTGAACCGGTTTTATTAATTATTCATTAAAACAACCATTTATTGGGTGCCTGTTACTGCCCATTTCTGTGCTAAGTACATGAAAGTAGAGAAGAAAAATCACATTTCCTACCTTCAAGAAATTTATTTGCTAGTGGAACAGCGAATATTAAACAAAATATTGCATAATTAAGGCTAGAATAAAGGAAGTATGGATCACAAAGTGGGACCTCTTCTGAACCAAACAACTTTGAAAGGAATTTAACATCTTCTCATTTATTCTTTTAAAAAATTGTTAATGGGTATTATTATAAATTATAATATGGTTCATAGAGTGCATTTGTATTATAGCAATTGGATGTGGGTTTCCTGAGCAGAAAGGTACTTGAGTATACCAAATCTTTCTTGGCAGTATTATTTGCTATAATAATTTCTCCTAGATTATGTCTTACACATTATTCTGCTTTGAATTTAGTGTGTTGTAAAAGTCTTATATGGTATTAATTAAACTGATAACAATAAAATCCATTGGGTTTTAGTTGCCATTACCCAGGGAGGAGCAATACAACTGGCTAACAATGGTACCGATGGGGTACAGGGCCTGCAAACATTAACCATGACCAATGCAGCTGCCACTCAGCCGGGTACTACCATCCTACAGTATGCACAGACCACTGATGGACAGCAGATCTTAGTGCCCAGCAACCAAGTCGTTGTTCAAGGTAAGAGAATTCAGAATTCACAGGTGTGGTAAATTCTTTGAAAGGTTAAAATTTTATAAACTCAGAAAAAGTAAGTATGATACTGTAAAACACTATGAAAATGTAGTTAATTTTTTTCATTATAGATAATGTTCTCCATGAACTCTTCCATTATTCCAGTTGGACCCAAATGTCATGGCATAAAAACAACTGTTTTCAGTTTTAAAAATACAACATCTTTAACACTTCTAGCATTTGGGGATAGGAGAAACAGGGTAGGTTACAGGGCAAAACAGTGAAGTCAGGAGTTAGGAAAGCTAGATTCTAGATCTAACTGCATAGATTTGCTATGTGATCTTGAGTAAGACTCACCTCTCTGGGCCTCATTTTTTTTTTTTTTAATGTGTCAAATAAAGAGTTGTACTAAATCACTGGTGAGAATCTCTGGAGGTTCTGGGTGCCTGGCTGGCTCAGTTGGTAGAGCATGTAACTCTTGATCTTGGGGTTTTGAGTTCAAGCCTCATGTTGGGTGTAGAGCCTACTTTAAAAAAAAAAAAATTTTTTTTGAAGGTTCAAAATTCTGTTTCTCTGCTTTTTATTCAAAAGAAATTTACATCCTCATTTCTAAGATCATCATTTTTTATTTCAAATGAAAACTGTTCTGAAAATTCTTATACCAGTATGCAGGTCTACTGGTCTGTAGAGAAAAAGTAGTAGTTAAATCCTTGTTGAACTATAGAAATAGCTTTTTTTCTGTATTGTTTTATTTTTTTTATTTTCTTGCTTTAGGAATCTCTATGGATAGGAGTTGACCATTTTTCTTTGAATCCATTTGAATATTTTAAGAATATGATTTATGCCAGATTGAAATTTGCATATTGAGGAAATAATGTTAAAATCTGTATCTAAAAATATTTTTATTAATAAAAATATATTTTGCCTCTGTTAAATAATGACCATTGTTACCCCTTCACCATGGATGATAATTTTTGAATAATCCTAAAACACCAACTAGAGAGACATTTGTTTTTAAAGGCCCTAATGTATTTACAGAACATATTTTGTTACTAAACAAATAATATTTGAAGAAGATAATATTTTGCTTATTAATGGGAGTAAAACACCTTTTCACTTTACATGCAGGTACTCAAAAATTGTAAAGCAGGATGTCAGTGAATTTGAATTCTGAACGTCAGTTTGAAGATGGTAACATGTTTAGTATATAAATCTTTTCCACTCAAACTACACATTTTAATTGATATTAATAACAAATATGGATAATTTTATAAAGACCTTCAAATTCTCTCAGATAATGTTAGGTTCTTTATTCTTAGGAGGGCATATTACTAAGCTGTTTTTAGAAGCAGTTTGACAGATAATGATTGTGTTTCTTTTTACAAGTGATGGATCACTTAGAAAAATAAACTTCCATTTATTTAGCAATTAGCATTTACATTAAAACAAGTAATATAATTGGCATCAAGTGGTACACTTTTTCATACTTTCAGTTTTGTTTCAATTAGAAATTTATAATAGTTGACCATAATGCTTTATTTTCTCTCCCATTTCGCTATTTTATGAAAAATCATGGTCGTTTTTATGTCGTGGCAAGAGTCTACTTGAAATTTTTTAATATGAATTTACCAATATCAAAGGAAGACATTGAGGAGTATACTCTATCTAGGAAGATCATCCAAGCTGTGCCCTACTTATCTTTTAGACTTAAGGTTGGTAAGCATGTTAACAACAGAATAGAACTGCATTCCAATGAAACATAAATACAAGACCCGGCAGACATAGGTTAAGGCCTCTTTCACCCAAGTGTCTATACTAATAAATACATTAAATTGGAAATTATTTGTCAGTAATGACCCAAAAAGTGCTGATTTTTTCAGTGTTTTAGTTAGAATCATGTTCCTTTTTTTCCCTTCCAGTCCAAAATGTATGTTTAAATTGATGATTGACACACGTAGTTTCACCGAGTCACAGTGCTTCAGTGTCTTACGCCCTGTTCCCTGTTTTTCTTTTCAGCTGCCTCTGGAGATGTACAGACATACCAGATTCGCACAGCACCCACTAGCACCATTGCCCCTGGAGTTGTTATGGCATCCTCCCCAGCACTTCCTACACAACCTGCTGAAGAAGCAGCACGAAAGAGAGAGGTCCGCCTAATGAAGAACAGGTACATACGTTGCATTTACTTAGATTGTGGTAGGTCAGGTCATCTTCAGATTCTGTCAGACATGTGTCTTTTACCTCTTCTGATAATAGGATCTTTGCAATGAATTTTTTTCTGGTAGAATTGATGGATCTTGCTAAAAAAAACTTTATTTAATAAGCTGCACTTATGAAGTGGCTAATGGGATTGTGGGTCAAGTCTTTATTATTTTAAGATTTTATTTATTTATTTGACAGAGACAGCGAGAGAGGGAATACAAGCAGGGGGAGCGGAGAGGGAGAATCAGGCCCCCCACTGAGCAGGGAGCCCAGTGTGGGGCTCAATCCCAGGACTCTGAGCCCAAGGCAGCTGCTTAACCGATTGAACCACCCAGGTGTCCCATGGGCCAATCTTTAATCATAGTTTTCTTTTGTGTGATTTCTCCATGGAAGATATAATACACAACTCTGCTATATTTTCACTATGCTCTAACAAGCTAGGTTATTTAAATATTGTTTCTTTTCATGAATAGTATTGTTCAAGAAGATCGAGTTTCAAGTATGTATATTAAATTAATATTAAGTTTATTTAAAATAAAGTAGATGTATAATGGCCAGTCCATGTTTTAGTGAATATCATCTTTACTCAAAATCGACAATTTAACACCTAAAGATTCTTCAAAAACAGATTAAATCTAAGAATACCTTGTTCTTAGACAAAATCTTAAAATAGAGTTAGTCTTCAACAATGAAAGTGCTACACAACAAAATCTATGAAATGTGGGCAAAGTAATTCTCATGAAGTAAATTCACAGCTGTAAATGGTTTTGTCATCAAAAAAACCAGTAAGGGGCACCTGGCTGGCTGAGTTGGTTAAGCATCCGACTCTTGATCTTGGCTCAGGTCATGATCTCAGGGTTGTGAGATGGAGCCCCACATTGGGTTCCTCACTGGGTGTGGAGCCTGCTTAAGATTTTCTCTCTTTCTCTTCCTCTCCCTTTGACCCTCCCCCCCCCAGAAAAGCCAATAAAATGTTTTTATTGTATTTACTTCAGTATTTTTATTTAGTTTAGGATTTAAATATTTAGCTTAGGATTTAATGTAGAATGACTTAAGACAAACCATAGAAAATGAAAATAAAGATATATTAAAGATAAAATTTGAAATTGGTGAAAATATTCCTCTGTTCTTGACCCCAAGATTTTTCAAACACTGTGATAAAGTAAAAGAAATAGGGATTGAATTTAGACAGTCTGGATTCAAGTCCTGGATCTACTCTTTTTGCTGTGACTTTGGAAGAACATACTAACCCTCAAACCTCCGTTTTCTTTGTAAGACGAGATACTGCCACCCATCCAAACGGCTATTCTGTGGGACAGATATTCCTCTCAAAGCACTTTATCTATAGTGCTCTATCAAAATGTTTGTTTTTATGAAGTTTCATGTTTCCACTCAGCTCAACAACCTTTTTTGTCCCTGAAATACTCCTAGCTGTTTTAGAGTGTCAGTAAATGACATCTAAGCTATGGGAAATGGCAGGACTTTTTCTGGGATATTAGGGAAAGAGTTGGAAATAAGCCAAGTGGCTTATTTTATTTGTGCTCCGTCAGTCTGAGATTTTCCTTAGGTGTTATAAACAGAAGCATCAAAAGCTGCATTCATTTAAATGTATTTTAAATACAAAATTTATTTTATAATTTAGATCTTTCCAGCTTCCAAATGTTTGTAAAGAAATGTTTAACCCTTTCTAAAATTAGAAGCAAGTCTGATTAGGAAGTCTTAAGTAAAGGCCAGGTTTTAAAACTTAAGACAGTAGCACTTACTAAAGAAACCAGTTCTAAGCAAGACACAGCAGAGCAATCAGATGGAAAATAAACTTTCTTGATTATAAAAACAGTAGAAGGACTTCATGTTGTGTCCATGTAGTTGGTTCTGTGGGACAAAAATGTTCCCTCCCCCCCTTTTTTTTTTAAGATTTATCCATTTCAGAGAGAGAGTGCGAGTGGGGGGAAGGGCAGAGGGAGAGGATCTTCAAGCAGGCTTCCCCAGTGAGCACGGAGCCCAACTCAGGGCTTGCTCCCATGACCTGAGCCGAAACCAAGTGGGTCACTCAGCCAACTGAGCCACCCAGGCGCTCCAGAGACGTTTCCTCTTATACAGAAAAGACTAATTAGCGGGTGGGTGAGGAGGCAGCACCATGGCTTCTTGTCTGCTCTGTTGTATGGAGCAGAGAGCTGCCCATTTATGAACACTTGTTCATTTGACTAGCAGACCAAATTTCTTTTTTCCATTATTTTTTTAGTTTATGTATCACCCCCTCCCCCCCCAACCAAGTTAGGGCCATAGCTACAGTTCCTAACAACCTTTGCTGGTCTGAAATCTTCAGGGAAGCTACCTGATTTAGCATGGACTCTTTAATAAAAATACTTTTGCTTGGATTTAGTTTCATTATAAGGAAACTTCCCATTGACTCTCCTATAGTTCCCTTTTCCTTTTATTCCCACATTACTGCTGCTTCTACTTTTCCAACTTCCATTCATTAAAATCTGGCTTCTGTGCTCACCATAGCACTCTTACATCTTTAAAAGATACAGAGTCCCTCCCACTTGGCAATCTGGTATTCTCTTTTCATTTCATTATACTTTTTTTGTGTGTGTGAAATATTTGACACTTGTGACTTCTCATTCTCCTGAACTCTTCTTTGGTTTATTCACCCAGTTTTCTGACTACTTTTGAAGTTTTCCCTTGGAACGTTCAGTCGTATCCGTGTATTTCAGGCATCAACTATATGCTGATACCTTCTAATTCTATATTCTGGCTTTGACCTTTTTCCTGAGATACTATTTATTAAGGGCTAGTTTATGCTAGACATTGCACGTAGTTTCTTTACATACTTTATATTGCCTACAATGAGGTAGAAGCTTACCTCCACTTTACAGAGGAGCTATAGTTCAGAAAGAAGTTAAATATCTTGCCAAAGATCACACCTTTAAAGAAATTGGTACAGGGGTGCCTGGCTGGCTCAGTCAGTAGAGCATGTGACTCTTGATCTTGGGGTTGTGAGTTCAAGCCCCACATTGTGGAGATTGCTTAAAAATAAAATCTTTTAAATTTTTTTTTTAATTGGTAGCACTGAGATTTGAGCTTGTGTCTGGTGCCAAAGCCCTATGGACATGTTAATTCTGAGATTTCAGTATGCAACTCTCTCCTGCTGTGCTTCTTAAACCAGAGCACATGACAGTGTGCTGGAGATAATGTAGCACCAAGAGGTAAACATGGAATACTTTCCTCGAATGTTTATCTTGCTCAAAAATTAGAGAGAAATAAATATTTTTAAGGTAAGAGATTTAAAAGAAATTCACACCAGCAGTGATTGCTTTGGGCTCTGTCCCCAGAATCCCCATTTTGGTTTCCTCTGCCATTAGGGGTACACTTCAATGGAAAAGATAGGGGAGCGCTCTCCTCCTGAACATACTCACTAGGATGAATGTCCCTTATATGTACCTCAAACACAGCCATCTTAAATTGAACTTTGATGAAAATGTTATGATCCCCAAATTCTACACTGTCCAAATTACCATTTACTCAGAAATGAAGAGAAGTGATAAGCGGTCTAAAAGAAAGAATAGATGGTTGTTATATTAATTTTTGTTGCTGCAGTAACAACAACAGAAACCCCAAAATTTCAGTGTTTTAGAACAACAGAATTGCTTTCTCACATTACATTGGACAGCTGCAAGCCAGCTGCCGTGCCTCTCTTCCACTAGCTCCAGCTAGAGGAGGAGCACCTTTTTTGAGGCATGTCATTTTTGTAGCAAAGGAAAAAAGGCAGTGTTTTTTAAATCCTCTCCTTGATGGTGATGAACATCGTGTCCACTTATGTACCATTGGCCAAAATACAGGCAAGGACAAGCTCAGTGTCAGTGGAGCGGGAATGTATGCTCTTCCCACAGGGAGGAAGGAATAAAAAATTATGAAAGTAATGCAACCCACCATCCTTGTCTTATAATTTTAGAATGCAGGAGTATTTTAATAGATTTCCTAAAGGCAAAAGTAATAAACGTAAAGGTTAGGTAGGTTTGACTATATGAAAATATAAAACCTCTGTTTAGCCAAGAGAAAGATAAAGTAGAAAAGCAAACAACAAACTAGAAACACTTAACAAGTTAGAAGACTAATGAGTTAAGGATATGAATAGGCAGATTCATAGAAACTTGGCTTCCCATTAAGTATAGTTTATTTACATGTTTGTTTAACTCTAGTGTACATTTAAAATAGTTACAGAGTTGCTAACTTGTATACCTGTGAGAAACAAATTTACCAAATACAATACAGTATTTATGTACAGTTCTTTTTGTTTTTAGCCTTAAAGTACCAGTGAAAGGACTGTTTTCAAAGCTATTTAGGTCTGTTCTTTTTTCTCCACCCTCTTCAGTAAGATTATATCACACGTTTGTAGTATGGTTAGATTCGTCACCATCTTCTTTCAGTTCTGGGACTGCATGTACTTTTTATGCTGTATAGTTCTTTTAGTTTTGACAGATGTATGGTGCCATGTTTCTACCCCCACAGTGCCTTACAAAACAGTTACACCACCCTAGAACGAATCTCTTTGATACCCATGGTAGTCTGCTTCTGCCCCCTTTCCCAGACTCGAAGCCGCTGAACTGTTTTCTATCCTCAGGATTTTGCCTTTTCCAGAATCTAATATAATTGAAATCATTCACTGTATGTAGCCTTTAGGATCTGGCTTCTTTCACTTAGCAAAATGCATTCAAGATTTATTGAGTGTTAATGGATCAGTAGTTGGTTTTATCCCTGGTATTCCATTGTACCCATATCCTGTGGTTTGTTTGTCTATTGACCTTGGTGTTCATCATAGTCTCCAGTTTTGGAGGGTTATGAATGAAGTTACTATAAATATATACAGGAGTTAATATGAACTTTCAGGTCACTTGAGTAAATACCTAGGAGTGGGCTGGCCAGGTAGGATGGTAAGTGTATATTTAGCTTTATAAGAAATTG